CAAAAGACCGGCTCTTTGAAAGGAACGGATCCGGAAGCTCAAGCTCCCTTTAAAGACCTGTAAACCATTAGTTTTTGTGCTCAGCATTCACTGTGATACGGGATGAGGTTCGGTTGAGAAAACAGCAACAAACTAACCAAACATTGTCGTGCAAAAGTGTAGAGGTTTAGCTAATGTAGTGTTCTTTCATGCTAGTTTGACATTTTTGAAAAAGAGTTGGTTTATAAGCCTGAGAAACCATTTACATAAAAACAAGCATTTGTTCGGCTGACCATTAGCCCAGCCGGGGGGAGGACTTCTGCCTTTTTTCTTAGCTCTCCATGACTGATGTCACAACTGATGAGCTAATAACAAACACGTTAGAGCTGTCATTTCTAACCCGAAACCTGGCCCAGACTGACCTGGATTAGGGACGTAATGTGATTAATGGGCGGGGCGGGCCTGTCTCAGGCTTTTAGGTCAGGATCAGCCACGATCCAATTATATGATAACATGGCCTGCCATACATCCACCAGCCGCACGCGGCCATTTCACCACGAGCTGACTGGCCTTGAAAGAGGTAAAAAGTTCAGTTAAGCTCCAGATGGGACTGTACTGCCAGGCAACGATCCATCACCCAAATGGACGTTCATTCAGCTGCTGCACCCAGCGGACGCGCGCGGCCGACGACCCAAACAGATGAGATCCCAAAGCAGACGTGTGTGTCAGAGCTGTCTGCGTGTCTCAGTAATTCACAAGAATGCAGCAGAAACAGGGTTGAAATGCTTTTTTTACGGCCATGAAATGACAAACACCCCATCAGCTCCGAATCGTCTGCCGCTTTTTATTCAGCTGCGTGTCCCCGACTGTTAATAACTAATTAAAAATGCCGGGGGGGGGGGGGGGGGGGGGGGGGGGGGTCCGAGTTCGGACCTGTAATTACTGTTAATTCATCGGGTCAGGTGGAATTCGGAATATATGACTGCGAGCTGGGGTCGGATCGGATCAGATTTTTTGGTCCCGAATGCTGCTCTAAAACACGTCACTTCAAAAATGACCAGAATATCCCTTTAATTAAAGCAGTAACCTGTATATTTATGCCAGTTCGTTACTTATACAGCAGCAGAGCCCGGTTCTCACCAGCAGCAGGACACAGTAGCTGGTTAACAGCGCAGAAATGACGATCACCACCATGAACCAGTTCACCCACACTTTGAGATGTGAGAACCCCTTCCTGTCAGAAGAGAGGGAGAACGGGGTTAATGGACTAAAGGGCTCCAGTAAACACCGAAGTATATAAATAAAATATATAGTAATGGATTGTGTGTAGGGCGTGGGATCACTCACGTGTTAACGTCTTCTCTGTCGTTGTAAGTTATCAAACAAATGTACATCCAGCAGATGGATAGAAGGACACCCAGACAGACAAATAAGAACCAACAGGATGCACACTGAAATGAATAAATATAGGAAAAACAGAAGATTTCATATTTAGGCTTTAAGTTAACGAATAGAAATTCTTTGCAGGAAGTGCTTTTGTGTAAAAGAATAAAGAATGTGAAAGTAATTTTCCGTTGCGTTGCCAGTGAAACGTATCCCACATCTTTTCACAGTTGGTTTTGTGCCCCGTGCTATGACAGCTCACTGCAAACAAATCCTTCACGGTTTTTATTTTTTAAATAAACACACCTGCACTTCTAACCTTGCTCTGATTCGTGGAAAAGTCTTAGACCACCACCATCCTCCTCCTCCGCCTTCTTCTTCTTCTTCTTCATGCATTTCCCTTTCCAAATAAAAACCATCAAAAACCTGCCAGAGCCTGCAGCTTTGTTTAGTTGAAGGGACTTTTATATCTCTATTCATCACTTCTTAATCTCATTTTCTGTGTTTTAACAGCATAATGGCTTCCTCTCTGGCAAAAAAAAATAAAAATAAAAAAAATGAGGGGATGAAAGGGGAGAAAAAAACGGGGATTATTTACGATGTGAATCTTTGTTGAAAGTTTTAACCCAGATTACGGAGATTGGAAAAGTTAAGCTCTGTGTTTGTACAACAAATTTGAAAGCGTCGAGCGTTTCGAGGCAGATCACTGATAAAACACTTCAACACACTCACTCTGCTCCTGTTTGCGCTCGGCCTCCTCCAGTGGCAGCTGTAGAATCCTCGACTGCAAACTCTGCAGACGTCGTGCATTTGTCTCATCGTGTCTCTTTTTACTCCAAACAAACAAAACGCTGATTCTGTTTCGAGCAGTCGGGACACTTGGTGCTTGGAGCCTTAAGGACGACGATGGAGCATCAAATAGTAGTGCTTTATTTGGACACAGAGGAGAGGCCCGGTCCCTCGAAACCTACGAAGAAAAGGGGGAAAAAGGAGACTGTGACAGAAAATCCATGAGGAAAGAGGGTTTCTTTGAATGTTAAGACAATCCATGCTCCCCTCAAAAGAGCCTGCATGCAGGAGGGGCTTCAGTGCTTACAATGGCCAACACCATGGGGTATTCAAACAGGCTGGCTATGGGAACTCAGGCCTTTGCAGCACAAATGGTGACAGGCACGACCACGCACGGAGAGCTCGCTGAATGAAAATCCTTGTGAGTAAAGAACGACGAGCAAACAATCTTGAGAAATCAGTTGAACGTGAAATAAAAAATAAAAACAAACTTGAGGATTCCTGTTAGTCACCTCTGTGTCGACTGGGTCATTTAACGAGATTTCAGTCAACAAGTTGGGACTTAACATTCCTCAGCCGTGCCAGGTTTCGATCTCCATCACTCTGAGGGACATGGGAAGTGATACTCGTCACTTTGTCACTCACTGGGGACTGAGTAATGAGGGGTTTCAGCTGTGGAAAAGCAATTATTTACGAGCTTTCTCCTCGTCAGACTTGATTTTCGCTTGGCTTCGTTGCCAGCTCACCTCGTCGGAGTTGATTTTCACCGTTGGAAACCCTCAGGGTGCAAACACAAAGCTCAAGGTCAAGGCTTGAGGTGTTTAGATGACATCAGCCGACTTAAAATGAAGCTTTCGCTTAACTTTTATTGTTTTAATTTAATCAAGAATAGAAGAAAAAAAAACCACTTGTGTGACTGAGATTAGAGCTAATGAAGGCAGGTTGGAACAAGTCGACGTGCCTACGTGAAACATTAAACTGCATTCCACTGCACGAACCAGGAAGTTTTAGCATGAGCTGCATGTTGAGTAATAACCGTAAGAAACATTAAAATGAAAACCAAACACTTTGTCAGACAAAGAGAAGGAAACAAAAATGGCTGTGTTACAATCACAGAACAATTAGGTCCTTCTTTGTGGTTGACTGGCTTGCAACAGTGTCCCATTTGTGACCCTTTCCTAACAGCTTATTTGTTTGGACTATTTGGTTTTTAATTGCTGTTCTCCACCATCATGTAAATGCAAAGTGTTGAAAAATGCACATAAAATAACGGCATGACTCACCTGTACTGTTAAGAAAATTAAATGAACCTATAAAACACCTGTGGTAAGTTGATAATTGAACCGTTTCCTGTGATTAAACAATAAATAAAGGGTGTGTGCATCTCTGAATGGTCCTAATGAGAGCTAAAGTATCCAGTAAAAGATTAGCGTTTATATAGACATACACAAAATGGCTGTAAAAATATGTCAAACTATCATATCTTATTTTGCTTATCTCATCCTCTTATTGTTATCTTTACTTGTTTTCCTGTCCAGCTTCCTGTCCTGCGGTCACTTCCCTGTGTCCTCATTTAAATTAAATAAAAACCTTAAGTTCAGTTTGTAAAAATCTGCAGCTTCATTTTACAGTAAAGCCGACTAAAACCTGGGATTTTTATTTCAAACAACCACAAATATCTAGAATTTAATGACGGCCTGAGCCAAAATCTTGGGTCATTCCTCGTTTCTTTATATCTTCTTCTAAAAATTGTATTTTTATTTTAAAGAGTTCTTGAGCAATATTTATTCAGTTTTTCATTTTTAAAGTTCTTTTAATTTTTTTCCTTTCATCCCTACTTATTTTCAACCTACTTTTCCCCGTTCTCTCTCTCTTTTGATTATTTTTGTCTGTTAAGCCAGTGGTGCCCATCCTTGGTCCCTGAGGAACACCATTCTGCATGTTTTAGTTGTTCCTCTGCTCCAACACACCTGGTTTCAAGGAAAGGGTGATTAACAGGCTTCTGCTGAACTTAAATAAATCATTAAACCACAGAATCAGGCATGTTGAAGCAGAGAACCAACTAAAATGTGTAGGGTGGTGTTCCTCAGGGACCAGGGTTGGGATCCACTGCGTACTTAACTGAGACCTGGGAGTCATTCAGGCGCAAAAGAACTAAACTCAAGGGATGAACCAGTGTTGTTTTGACATAAATAAATAAATAAATTTAGATAAATTTGGGAAAAACTCATTTTAAATGGGTCGTTTCACAACCAGCAACCTGTCACAAAGACACAATGAAAAATATTCCCATATCAGATTAAATTAGTCTCAGTGGATTCAACTAAAAATGACAATGACAAAAGACAAATTTTGTTCAACTTAGTTGACAAACAAAGAAGTTAAGCAATTTTAGAGGAATAAAACAATAAGATTCTCCTAACGATCTGATGAGTTCATCTCGATTCTGGGGCTTCAAAATCCTCTGTCGGGCCAACAGATTGTTCTGAAAGTTGCTCCGGACGTAGGAGATAGTTACTTTCCTTTTAGTAAAGCACATTCAAAGTTTGGCTTGTGGAATCTGAGCGACATGCGTGAATGCACCTGTTCCAGTGATGGGGGGGGGGGGGGTGGCGGGGGTTACAGCATACCTATTCTGTGGGCACCTTTTGAAAACAATGTTTTTGTGTTCACAGCTTACAAATCTGTAGGCGACGCTCATTATGTTGCCCAACTCCACCTGAATCGCCTCGGCTCGGTTTGTGCCCACCTTGGCACCCACCACATTTCAGATGTACCTCCCTTTGGAGCGCACCTTTGGCATGAATATAAGCAGATTTGGACCAGTGGTGTTTTACGCCTGGATGTTCCCTCTTGAGACAAGATTGAGACACCTGCGGAGTTTGGATCTTCTGAGCACGTCCAGAATTCAAGGCCGCGAGCCTCCGAGACTCTTAGAGCAGTAAAAACTTCTTGAGAAGGTTTCAAAACAACTTGAAGACTCCGTCATCAATTTCGTCAACTCAGACATACCACCTAACTCAGATGTGTCCGAGACACGATTACTTCAAAAGTGGCGACAGTAATTAAGTCCTCCTAATTTATTAATTAAAGCAAACTTATTATGTATAAGAAAACAGTTCAACGTGTTTGAAATGATCATTTTACATCCAACAAAGTGGTTCCCAAAGCAAGGAAGCTGAAAACCAGACACACAACCGAAAGATGAAACACCACTCAGGTCCTGTTGAACGTTTTTCTGATGCTGTAGATCCTGCATATGTTAGGGAAGCACAATATTGGATTTTTGGCTGATATCCGATATGCCAATATGATAAAACTTATTTGGCCGATAACAATACAAATTTTTTTCCCTAGACCTAATTACAAAGACTGCATAGCCTTCTCTGCTGTGGAATTAAAATACTACATTATTCTGCTTGGTCTTTGGATGAATGGACTGCTGGTGAGGTTTTGTTTCTCCGTGGTTGACCGCTCTCTCGCTTTCCTTTCTGGCCACCATAAACTCATCGTAATGGTCAGAATGGTGGTTCTTGAGATGGTTAATTAGGTTTGAAGTGCTGTAGGACTTCGTTCTCGCTCCTCCTCGCATCACGCTATGCAGTCATTGCGAATAGCAGTTCTGCTATCAGTTTCCGACACTTTAAAAAAACCTCCACACCGGCGACATTTTCACTCCTTCCTCTCTCGCCGTGACCAGATCAGGTAGGCGCGCGCAACATCATAACGCTGTGCTGGTGCTTCAGGCATCCAAAAACAGTGCCTTTATACATTATATATATATATATATATATATATATATATATATATATATATATAAAACATATTTTATATCAGTGAGTTATTTTGATGGAATGGCCAATGTCCGATATTTAACTTTATCGCTAATATCGGCCGATATGATACCGATACGATACCGATAATATCGTGCATCCCTAGATATACTTTTTTTTTTTAGTCCTGACACCTCTTGTCTTCCACATGTCCTCATTTTTAAAGCTCCCACATACAGCATCACACAACAATGAGTGAAAATTAAAAGTTTCAGCTAAAACTTCAGAAATTCTGGGCAAGACCATTTTGAAGGTTTCAAGAAGTTTGGCTCATTTAAAGCATTAAACAGTGACGTCATCAGATGTCTGGAGGAGCTCTCCTGGAGGGGTTTGTTTGAGTCTTTTAAAGATTTAGAGCTTTTATCTCCGGCTGACTGACTCGTCTCCTCTCTGATTAAAGTGCTCCAACACGACGTGGAGAAAAAAGTGAAAGTGCAACAGAGGGATGCACACCCGGCCAGAACAAGAATAAAAGCAGAGTTTACTCGATCGTTTAATCTGCAACTTTAGGAGATAAAATCACTCATCTGCACCCAGAGCCCGTCTCTCTGTCTGATCTGGTTCTGGAAATCCAGTCCATATGTACTCACCGTGGATCAGGACCACAGAGACCCGCACGTGTCCGGATCCCCACTCCGTTTGCCTCCCGGATCACACTCTCCTCCTTTTCTCGCATCTTTTTTTTTTTAAACCCTTTTTTGTGACATCCGTGAGCTGAATGTGAATGGAGGCACGAGGGGTGTCTGGGTGAAGGGGGAGGAGCCAAGATCAGCGCAGGTGAGTAACTTACCTGAGGAAGTGGAGTGAAAGTTTGACTGCTTTATTTTGTGGCACCGCATTAAACCACACACAACTTTATTTTAATTTAACACACTATTAAAACGTCTCACCTGTTCAGCTTGATTTCATTATGTTAACTTCTAAACGTTTTCTTTAAAGCCTTAAAGTTGTTTAGGATATATTTTGCTAACAGGCAAAAAGGTTGACTATAACAATGAGCACAAAGCAGAATAAGCTGCACTTGAAATATGTGTTGTGACCGACTCTCATCTAGTATCACGTCAATTTTTAGCACAAAATAAGTAAAATTGGTTGTGTTCTGGTCATTTATGTGTTTGTAAGTTTTGATTAGCTTTGGTAGCCATCTTGGTTTGGACTGACTCCAAAAGTTAATCAGTTGTAAAAGTGCATCCACTGATTCTTGCTTTGAAGTTTCATTAATATCCACCCAGTGGATTGAGATATATTTTGCTAACAGACTCAAATGGCTAATTGCTGAATTTTAAACAAACTTCTTTTGCAATCTGATATAGCTCAGTCTTTGTTGGGGGCTATTCTGATCTAGTTTCACCCCAAATTTCAGTCATTTGTGTTTTACTTTATTTTACTTTACTCTGTTTTGTACCTTTATGGATCCAAGCAATTTGTTGTCATTTTGTCCACTGAAGGATATCTGAAAATGTGTTTCCCAAATGTTTTTATTTTCAAATTTGTATTCTTTATTTCTGATTTGATTGTTTTCAGGAAATGAGCTAAACTGTAAAATATAAACTTCTTTGTGTTTCAGTTCAAGCTGTTTCAGTCAGAACTGGGCCCTGGGCCCACTTGGTCCATACAGATGAGAAAGGTTGGAAAACCTCACAAAGTCATCTCTAAACTTTATACATTTTATAGACATCCTCTTGAGTGGCATTGACTTTTTTTTTTTTAAACCAACATAAAAATAAATTTGTGCAAAAACCAAATAAATCTATACAAATTACTGCACAGAAAATTTGTGCAGAATAAGGTTTAAAATAAAAACTGTAAACTTTTGACTCACGGTTTTCTAAACGGCTGCAGTTTTTGTGCTTCACATGCTCAGTGCAGGTCTGCCAAGGTGTTTGCTTTTAAGCACTCTTGTTTCTTTTACAAGTTTTTACAAATATACTTACAAGACGTTAGCATAAAATCAAAAACCCTAAATCATAACAGTGAATGCTGATGTCTGCAGGCTAACGGGCAGCAATCCAGTTCACGCAGGAGCAGCAAATCTTGGCTGCAGAGACAAACACTCCCCGCACTGGTTTGTGATTTATGAAGAAACAGATTAAACTTTTAAAAACTGGAAATAGTCCAGGGGCTACTGGGGCAGAGAGAAGTGTCAGTCACAACAGTCTGGACTGGAAACAAATGGCAGGAAAGCAAAGAAAGAGCATAAGAATCTGTATATTTTTAGCATATTAGATTACTACATAAAACATGTTGAGACTTGAAATGTGCTTAATGAAACATCGAGCTGTTCAACTCAGGTATTCAGTAAAAGATAAATCAACTTCTGTAAACATTTCCCTACAAAAGGAGCAAACTGCAAGGGAAAAGCTAATGTTATTCAAAGAAAAGCTGCACAATGAAATAATACGTTTAAAAAAGAATGCAGGTTATGGATGTGATTTAGACTTGAGAAAAGTTTTTAAACTTAGTTTATTAGTGAAAAATGAACACAAAATAGGCATAACTAGTTCATGAGGGAGCGTTTTAATGATTCTTTTTTGTTTTAATTAATGCTTTTGTGAGTTCAGTTCAATCATTGTTTGCTGATGATGAAGCAGATGTGGAACAACTTAACTTTTACTCATAAAAATGCAGAAGTGTGTAAAGAAATGTAAATGTCAACATGTAAACTAAATCTTGAAAAATCTGTAAATAAATATTCTGTAATTAATTGGGATGGGAGGCTTGATAAAAAATAACTTTATAAATGAATGTCTTCTGCGCTAGATTATGAGTGCATGTACTGATGTTTTAAAATACATTAGCATAGCTTTAACTAAATAAAGACCTGATAATGATGATATAATGTTTTTAACAAACTACTGTACTACTGCGATTTTAAGACGGGTAACTTAGCTTTTAAGTGAATTTAGAAAGGCAAAAAGAAACAGTGGACAAAACACAAAATGTGATTTATTTGTGATAAAATTTAAGAATTTTACTCCTCATATAAATCAAAACATCCTTCTGTTCTTTGATTTCAGGAAGTTGGAACAGAAAAATAAAATACCATTTTAAGGAAATGTTTAAGTTATTGGCGTGATTTTTATTTGTTTAGGAGACTTATCAGCACGGTCAGGACTGAAACGGAGCAGTGTTGAAACTTTTTAAGGGTATGTAAAATAAGTTTTTATTTTCTTTGAGAACTGGTCTGATGAGGGGAATTTGCAGGACTTTTAGCTGCAGTAAGAGGGTAAATCCTCCTGAGCAGCAGGTGGCGCTAGTGAGCAGAACTGAAAACAGCCAAACACAGAAAGAAGACGCTGTTTGCGTTTACAACCACGAAGGTAAAACATATTTCACATTTTAATCGTATATGTGTTGTCCAAAAGGCCGTGTCACGTCATATTTTTAATTTAATTTTATGATAAAAGTAAAACATTAAGCAAACGACGAGAAGTTTGTTGGGTTAGCGGAAGTAGTGTTAGCCTGTAGCTAGCTTCCGTTCCGGGTTTGTTTTCAGTTTTGTCAATTTAATTCTAATAAAGTAATTGATCGGTTTGTTATTTTACTACATGTTAATGTAAGTTTACTGAAGTGTAGCTCAATATGTGTTGTTGTCGTCCCTTTATAAAAACAACGTGATAAATAGCACTAAAGCGTTTTTTTTTTTACCTAATAGCTTCACTTTCAGGAGTAAACAATGGATCAGAAAATCCCTTATGAGGACTATCAGCTTCCAGTGGTGTTCCTGCCTTCTTATGAAAATCCACCAGCATGGATTCCTCCACAAGAGGTACGAGACATTTCAGTTAAGCCACAATGTCTACTTTAATGTGTTAAAAATGATTGTCAGTTCAGAGCTCAAATCTAGTTTCTTTAGACGTTTTGTTGTATTTGAGATGTTCACAGTCTTAAATATGAATCACTTTGCACTGTTTTTTTTTCTTGTAAATATGTTGAACAGTTTCAGCATATTTACAATATTCCATCCCCATGCATTCTTTTTTAATTGCTTCTACCAAAACAAGAAACGCACATAATATCACTATGAGTCATGTTAAGTGTAAATCTCCCTGTTTCTTGAGGGAATATTAGTAAAGAAGTTATCTTAGGTTCAGAATACACAACATACCGGGTCATGCTCGACAGATTCACCTCTTGCTGAGAACATGATGCTTTATAGATTTATATTCCTGGAACCTAACAACAATATTAGTGAGCTGACTAAGCTCCTAAGTTATCTTTGTGCACGTGTACGTTTCTAAACAGTATGACTAATTTTTATAGAGAATTTGTTTTCAATTAAAGGAGAAAATAATAGACAAAGACACAATCTGTTTTTACTATTTTACTTTTTGCCACTATTCTATTCTCAGTGGAATGCATCTGTTATTCTTAGACTGAATCTAGCTTGCATGTCTTTATGTCTTTGCTTTACATTGTTAGCTGCTCTTTTCTTTGTTCACTTTTAGCGGGTTCATCACCCTGACTACAACAATGAGCTCACCCAGTTCCTCCCTCGCACCGTCGTGTTGAAGAAACCTCCTGGAGCACAGCTGGGTTTCAACATCCGAGGGGGCAAGGCTTCACAGTTAGGAATATTTATATCCAAGGTTTGTGCAACCACGATGGTTTATACTTGGTTTATAAATTGTCCTGCTGAATTACTTATATATGTATATATTTTCACAAAGGCCCACATTATTGGGAAATAATTTTCTCAAGTGTATGTTATGTGTTGTCAGGTGGTCCCAGATTCAGATGCCCACAAAGCAGGTCTACAGGAGGGAGACCAGGTTCTGTCTGTGAATGATGTGGATTTCCAAGACATAGAGCACTCACGAGTAAGTCAGAAGATTTAAAAATGCCCTTTTAGCTCTGCATTTTGGACACTCAAATATAAAGGTGAACATAGTGACACTTATTGTGTAAAGGGAAAAAAATTTGATTCACAGCATCTTTTTCCAAACACAAACACCACGCTTAGAATCGACTCCAGAATGTATAGCTGTGTAACTAAAAATAAATAAAACGGTATCCAACAAATAAAACAAAACGCATCCACAAAACGCATTTAGTCAGTTCCCTTATCACATTTGAGCTGATGAGAAGTGAACTGTTCCCAATATTAAATATCTATAATTGCTAATATTTCCTTCAGTTTGGATGGGTACACCCTCGAGGTTTACTTGATACAATGACAGACTTCTGATTCTGAAGCTAACACAAAATACACTCTCTTTAAGTAAATCATCATTGTGACTTCTATGTTTTGATCTAATTCTAAGAAAGAATTCTAACTATAATAAAAATGTTTCTAATTATAAATAAATCCAACCATTCTGATGTTTCAGCACTTTTTAACAGACATGGTTTGCATTTCTATTTTTTTCCAGAGGGTTTAATCAGCAGTTCATGTCGACACGTCTAGTTAAATATTTATGTAGTTCAGTCGTACACAGTGGAGTGATGAGTGTGTGTTGAGACAAATAAAATGTTGGGAAAAAAAATGTTCACTCATCACATTTGTTTTTTTCAGGCTGTAGAGATTCTTAAAACTGCTCGAGAGATTCTGATGAGGGTTCGCTTCTTTCCTTACAGTAAGTTTTTCATCGCTACATCAGATCAAGAGTGTTGTGTTTATTCAATTTTTTATTCTAACAACTGATTTGCTGTTTGGAAAAGCAAAAGAATGTTGTTTTGATAGACTATTTGCATAAAATTGCCTGCTGAGTTTGTAAGTCTAGTGCTACAAACACTGATGTTGGGAAGATTTATTATATGACTAGTTTGAGAAAATGAATATATTAAGTTGGTTAGAGGGAAGGAAAGAGATTAAACTTGGACACATTGGTGTCAGAGTTTATTAGTTCTAACATTAAAAGTACAAGTGCCAAGGAAAACGTGAAGGTTGGACAGTTTAAGGAGGAGGTGGAGAGGGTGATGCTAGCAGAGGCCAGTGGCAGCACAGGTGTGCCTTAGGCTGGCCTGCACACCTGTGCAGTAATCATGCTGTCTAATCAGCATCTTGACATGCCACCGCTGTGAGGTGGATGGATTATCTCGGCAAAGGAGAAGTGCTCACTATCACAGATTTACACAAATTTATGAACAATAATTGCGAGAGAAGGGCCAGTGGTGTACACAGGCTAATGAATAATGGGCTAATGAAGCTCTTCTGAAGCTTGTTTCATTAAAGCATTCACTTGAAGCTTTGCGACACTTTTGTCTTTGGCGCCACCTTGTGGCCAAAAGTATGAAGCTCAGGTTAAAACCTCAGCGAGAAATGAGGCTTTACATCTTTGTTGTCCAACCGACTGAGCAGACGGTTGTTGGTTAAAATACTGATATATTTCTGTCTGATATCAGGTACATTGATGCTTTGAATGTTTTGCGTTTTAAATAATAAAGTTATGGTTTGATTATGAATAAATGCCAGTAACTCGATCACAGTCTGACACAGAGCTTCAGAAACACTGTGTTGTCTTTGTTTATACATGCCCTGGAGCTTCAGCTTCAGATGGCCCATCACTAGTACATAGAATCAGTCTTAGATCTTGGAGTTCAGCTTGTGAAAAATGGGCACGATAACTAAAATGTTGCGTTTAGTTTTGTTCAGTATATATTTCTCTAGGTTCAGTGCTGTTGTTAATGTTCTCAGTTTGAGTGCGAGTGGAAACCAAGGCACGGATTGTGGTTTTTGGCATGGCTCAATGACTTCTTTTAACAACTTTTCTCATCAAAATGCACAAATCAAGAATTCACATTAGAGGTGGGAAAAATAAAACGTATCTCTAAATAATTGGCCACTGTCAGCAGAAACAAACACGTTTTAACAACCACGTACTTGAGTAACTCACGGGTTTTAGTGAATAGATCGAACAAGAAACGCTGAAAACAAGAACACGTGTTTAAAAGTCACGGAATATATTTGACTGTTATGAGATAATATGCTGATACTGCTGTAGTGAACTGATGTTTGTTCTTCCTTCAGACTACCAGAGGCAAAAGGAGAGAACTGTGCACTAGATGGAAGCAGTGAGAAACAGACAGTTCTTGTAGAGCGTCATGTTCCTCCTACAGACTCTGGCCTTTGTTCCGTCTCAGCTCCAAGATGACGACTGTATGACTCGACAGACTCATTCACAGTCCTCCATGTTAGGTTTTCTACTGTAATGTCAGAACTAGTCATGCTGTGATTCGATGATCTGCTGCACCAGGAACTACTCAGTATTTTGCTCTACATTCAGAAACATACACCTAGAGACGTTTTTTGTTATACAAGCATGTGAAAGCTGGACAATCATGCACTGATGTGTGCATGCGTGTTTATTTGTCTGGTAGCAAAATCTTTCAAACCAGAGGATGATTTTGATGGAACACTCAGAAAGTAACATCTGGATCTACAACTATGATAAGCTTTTCAGGTCAACTGTATTCAAGATGATCGGTGTCATTTAACACAAAATCTGACTTGGTGCAGATATTGAGCTTAAATTTGGTGTGGTAGTCACTGAGAGTCCTCCTAATCGTATTCACTGAGCTCTAATAGACCTCAAAGCCTTTATTTCAAGCTCTAGCACACAAGGCAGTGAGCGATAGGCATTCTTTTAAGGAACTAGTTTTATTTTTTCATTGTTTTCCAATGTTTTAAATTAGATCGTTTACAGCTGATTTCTGTAAATCGTTTAGGATATTTGAATACACTAATATATGTAGTATGAAGACAGCTTAACTATATAAACTATGAGCAAATTATGGTGCAAGACTGCAGGTAGATTTTAAATAAACTAGTGAATATGATAAACATGAGTTTAAAGTATTTAAGACATTTTTTGTAACTTTTAAATAAGTTGTGTAGATAGATTTTTTTTTTTTAATACTTCTCATTTATACTGTCTTGTAGTTCGTGTTTGAAAGGTTTTGCATGTCTTTTGGTGGGATCATTCATTATTTGCAGTTTTAAAACTATATTTTTTAGGTGCCAAACTGTTCAGCTATAATGGTAATAAACTGTGCTATTCAAACTGTAACGTGGTGAATCTTGTAAAAGTTTACAGGTTTTAATTCTGATCATAAACAGGCCGGTGCTTTCAATGTTTTCCTTTTGTTGCGGAAAAGAAACTGTAAAACCCACAGATTTATACAATCTTCAGATCTGTTGTAAATCAATCATGATCTGCAGTATATATATATATATTATGTTTATGCAGTACATTCAGTTTTTAAAAGGTTTCATAAATATCTGCATTGTTGTAGTTTGTACACCAACTTTTTTTTTTTTTTAGGACATTGAAAAGACTAGAAATAAAAGGCTCAACCTTTTGTAACCTCTTCCTTTTGCACTAGAAAAACCTTTTTACCAGAATCACACGGTAACTGGTTTTACTGGTCGGAGTGGTGGACCCGGTTCTGCTGACCCGAGATCGGTTTCTCCAGAGAATGAATGATGCAGGAAAAATGCAGTCGGAGACGGTGCGGCGTGTAGCAAGGTTTCCAAAGCTCTTCAGGTTTATTTGTAAAACGTCAAATCTGCAAGCGTCTTCGAATTGTCCAAGAAAAAAAGAAAAAAGTCTCAGCCTGCAGGGCTTCATCATGGAGTCGTCCTGACTTCTTCAGCTTAGAATAAATACAATAAAAATATAAAATACACCAGTTATGGTGATTCCAATTGTTCAGGCAAAATAAAACTATTTACAGTTTCAGACTTTAACCATCCTTCTGTCAGAGCCAATGAGAGTTTAGCATTTGCTCTTCACATCTGGGTCAATTGTGGCAAATCTTTAGTTTTCAAGACACGCTGGGTGCAGAAATCAAGGTCAGAATTTAACAAGAACAATAAAAATCTAATTCTGCTGGTAAATGTGGCAACTTTTGAGATGTTTATAGCTTTTAGGAAAAAACGGGAGCTTTAACAAGTGAAGGTAGTTTTCTCCAATTACTAAAACAACTAACATTTAAGTCAGTAGATAGCCATGTTTTTATGTTTTTGTATTCTTCATGGATGAAATATTAAATTAAACGTACAAAATAAGTTTGGCAGGATTTGTTGCAGTGCTCCGACAGTCCCAGTAAAAGCCCACCACCTCGGACTCGGTGCAGCAGCTCAGCTGGATCGAGGTGAATGAAAACTTGATCTGTGCTCCTTTTGTCTCGTAAAGACACCCGTAAACACGTCACGCTCTGTGCAATCTAAAAATAAGGCACGCTGATTTGAGCAACAGAGTTTAGAGTCCAAATGTCTTTTAAAAAATAAAAATAAAAAATGTATATATATACAGTTCAAGTCCCACGCTCCTCCCCCTGTGTGAGTTTTAGCTGCTGTCCTCGCCGTCCTGAGCGTCCACCTTGGAGCTTTCGTCCACGTTTTCTAGCGAGTCCGTTCTCTGTATGGACAGTTCGGCGGGGTTCATCATGGGGAGGGAGCTCTGCTCCGAGTGGAGCCACGGCTTCAGGCTGGGAGAGTTCTCCTGCTTCCAGCCCGGATAGTTCTGTCCTGCCTTGTGCACGGTCCTCATCACCTGCAGAGAATGGAGGCCATTATCAGAGGGCTAAAAGTGAAATGAGTTATACGGACTTCTAAACCCTCTGCAATGGACAAATGTATTTGTTTTTAAAACTGCAAACTAATTACTGGATGTGCATCTACAACTGATTACCTTATTCAATATGGCCGCCACAGCTAACTGACCTTATAAAAAGGCAAAAATGGCTAAAACTCGCACATTTTTACAGATATTGAGTTTTGATTTGACGTGGTAGTCACTGCTGATCCAACCATACTCCGAGCACCAATCACTTTTTTTTTTAACTTTGCTATTGATTGAATCAGCTGTTAGCAAAATATCCCATAAACCATTGATAGATTTTAATAAAGACTCTGAGAAACTAATCAAAGGACGTTCAAGGTGGCCACCACAGCTTTAGCCAACACAGAAATGGCGATAACTTATTTTCCACAGATAATGAGCTAAAATCTGATGTGGCAGTAGCCGAGAGTCATCCTCAACGCATTGTCCGAGTGCTAACAGATCACACAAGATCTCGCACATGGCATCATTTTCTAAAGTTTGCTCATAACGGCTATAACTTCTGTTAAATGCTGGTTTTTGTCCAGTTTTGGAGTTTTAAAATGGTTGATTTTGTAAACCTGACCCAAAACAAAGTAAAGATTTTAATTTTAACAAACTAAATTATGCTTAATATTACATAAAAAGGTGAATGTTTTTGTTTATTTGAACTGTAGAAGTTTCTCACCACCTCCTAAATTAACTTTCCTTTAAGTGGGTCCGGTTTACACAAGATCTGAACCCGGAGAACAAGTTCTGGGAGACCTGGCAACTCCTCGAGGTGAGATTCTCAGCTCTTACCTGGATCGGCCCTTCATTCGTGTTTCTATGGTTACCATTAGCCTGCATAAAGGTGCATGAAACTCACACTCCCACACGTGCGCACGCCTGCTGTACACACTGACATTCTTGTAGTCACACACCCTCATGGTTAAACACGCCGATACTGACGAGGTGCGTTAAACTTTCTAATCGAGCTAAACTCTAGCGATGGTCGGGGCGGTACTTGTGTTGTGATACGTACCCGAGGGGCGAGGACTTCAGATGCTTTGTTCACAACCCACTTTGGAAGAGAACCTGAAACCAAAAAACAAGTTAGCGTTAGGCGAACATTTTCAGGATGAGTCAAAGTGCCTGTTGGTGGGGTGTTCTTACCTTTTGGGTCCGCTTGTGAAAGGTAGATGAACGTACAGCTATTTGGTCCCGTGGATTTGATGAAATATCCGGTCTGGATGGAAACGGCTCTGACGAGATGACTGTAGGGCGGGTATTTCTGTGATGGAGCCAAAACATTGAGGACAAACAGGCTCCCATTAAAACTTTTCTGCTGTGTCAGCGTGATCAGAACAAATTAAAAAGGCTATTTTAGATGTGCCTCTGTGGACAAGTAGTCAACAATATCTTACCTGTTATAGATAGCTCTTTAAATGGCATGGTTGAAATTTGACAAGACTGATGAGCTAACAGCTAGTCGGAATGAAACCAAGGCCAAAGAGGTCATCTTTCCAATCTCAGAAATTTCATAGCAGTTCACGTGAACATAGTAATTTTGCATTACGTGATAATTATGCCAGAATTATTATTATTATTATTTAATTCAATCTTGAAGTGACCAGAGCTGCACCGGAAGTGCTACAGCTAGTTGTTGTTGTTGTTATACCCATGTAATATAACATCAACCACATTATTACCATAGTTTTCGGACTATAAGGCGCATTAAGCGAAACAAAACAGTCTGATAAGTCAAACTTTAACTCATTCATAATAACTCTCAACATTGTTCAGTTGTACCACATTAAATCAGTTTGCGGTCAGTGAGAACAACCAGAATTAAAACACAAGGCGCACCGGATTATAGGCTGTCGATTTTAGAGAAAATTAAAGGATTTTAAGTGCACCTTATAGTCTGAAAAATATGGTAATGCAATGTTTGCATGAACCATCATGACATTTTTGTGAATGAAGCTGTTATCAAAGGGTAGCAATCCGTTTTGGCCTTGTTTCCATTTACTCGTTTGCTCAACCTCAATTACTCCCGGCTGAAAAATTCAAAGAGTTATCCACAACAGGTAGCTTCCATTGGTTCATGGCTTTTTTCCACACAACCACTCTTAAATGACCTGAATCAAGGCGTGAAGACGGTGTCTAAAAGCTGAAGGAACAAAAAGGACAAAGGTTGGCGTACCGGGTGTTTGACTGAAAAGTTAATGATGATGTACTCGTCATTCGTCACCTTCCACGAACGCAGAGTCACAACGTCTCTGTTCTTTATTGGCTTCGGACAAAGCCCTGCAGAAAAAAGAAGAAGAAAAAATTAAATAAGAATTTCCGCTCTGCCATGCATTTTCTTTGTTGTGGCAATAAACACTCTTGTGTAACTTAAAAGCCACTTGATCTTCAACTGAAGATGGTTTAAACAGGAGCAGTTTTAAATGAGCACACGTGGAAGTTGAGCAGCAAAATCTGAACAACATCAAAGATTTGGATCAGAATATATCATTCCTCCACTTTTAATGCCCGAGTCTTAAGACTAGTTTTGGTCAAATCTTGATATTATGCCTAAACTCATGCAATATATAACTCGTGCAAGACATCACCCTTAAAAGTATGTGCTGTGAATGAATCTCAGCTACTAAATTAGGTTTCGCCAATTACACTAGTCCCTCGCTACTTCGCGGTTCGATTTTCGCAGACTTGCTCTATCGTGGTTTTTCAAAGTAAGCTCGAACAAGAGAAGAGGAAAAAAATGTACACGACGCACGATTGTCAACTTTAATATTACTCGTGATTGGGACAGTACTGGATACTGTACAGTAAATTGTTAACGAAAAATAAAATACTTCGGAAAGGCGCCGCCATTTTGTAGTTTTCACTCAATAAGCCGGCACTGTATCCCCGCTCATAACAACTACATTTCCCAGAAGCCTACAGGGCCCCGCCCAGAAGCACCATTGCCATCTGCTGAAATACTAGAGGGAAAGTTTTGATCTGATCAGAAAAGTTTGGCGCTTATTACAGTGACTTTGGTGCCCAGCAGATGAGAGCCGCACAGAACCCACTGAACCGGTGGAGAACAGGACCTCCATTCACATCAGTGAATCTGAGAGCTGGCCCACGAGGATTTCCGAGCAGGACACGCGCCGCCAAAAGGTCCGGCGCTCCATCCGGAGCCCACTGCCCACCACTACGTACCCCAAGCTAGAGAGCCGACCAGAACCGGCAGAGTAGTTCCGCCAAAACTGAACCAAGTCGGAGCGGAACCGAGCCGCCGCTGTTCTGCAGAGCTAGTGAGTAAAATTTAGTAGCTACATATAAATATGTTGTTAAAATTAGTAGGTTTAAGAGTTCAGAACATTGATTGTGGACTTCGTTGCTGCAGGGTAGGTCTGCAGAAACGGAACCAAGTCAGACCAGAACTGAGAGCTGCTGCTGTTCTGCTGAGCTGGTAAGTAAAATTTAGTAGCTACATACGTATGTTGTTAAAATGACGTAGGTTTAAGAGTTTAGAACACTGCAAAAGTGTGGGATTTCTAAAACCTTAATATATTTATATAAACACTAAAATAAATAGAACGGCACTACTTTGCGGATTTTAACTTATTGCATGCGTGGGGTGGGGGGTGGGGGGTGTCTGGCACGTAACCTCAGAAATAAACGAGGGACTACTGTAAAAGTTTGCTAACAAAATTCACAAGCTTGTTTCTGTCTGTGGGCGTGTCTCCGTGAGTCGTTAGGCACGCCATTGGTTTACTACGTGTACACGTGACGAGACGTGATTGGTCGACGCAACTTCAACTGGAAGGAGCCGAAGATGTGATGAAGATGTGATGCAGACTGAGGACAGTCGCCTCAGAGGTTAGTGGATTAGCAAAGCTAACTTTATGGTTAGCTGTGCCCACCACTAATGAAACGTGCAAAAAAAAAAAAAAAAGACTGCAGTGCTCACAAGAGTAGTAGCCCACATCTGCATTCTCAGAAAGCCTGGCAATGTCATAACCCTCCAGCATGTTGAAATCCCACTTCTTGCGGTACTCTCCATCATGAAGGACATCGTACATGGTGGCAGCCGACACATCTTTGATCACCATCTTGCACTGAAACACACAAGAACAAGAACTTAACCTCTGTGAGTTAGTCCCTCAAAATGGCCTCTGCCTGGCGCTACCTGTTCAAAACTTCAAAAGGTGTAAATAACAGCAAGTAAGAATTAACTTACCTTTATCTTGTGGACTTTAGGAACATTGTTCCCCTTGTTTGCAGCCTGCAGCACTTCCATCCACACCTGCATGCCGTTTCTGTCATATTTGTTCTGCCAGTTCTCGGTTGAGAAGCACTGCTTCTTGAATTCGGCGAAGGCCTGCTCGTCAGGTAAAATACTCCGTTGTTCTGACATTGTTCAGTTTTGTTTTTTGGCGCAGTTTACTCACTCCGCTCCCGTCCTGCAGATAATAAATCAATGATCCTCGCCACCGGTGAGATTTACCTCCTCTCAGGCGTCGCTTCCCTTCGGCTCAGACTAATATATGCGCGCCGATCCCCCGACAGGTCGAGCAGGATTTTTGAGCTGGATTCCTGAGCCATTCCTGTGAACAAAACTTGCTGACGTAGCTGCGCTTCCTGAATCCAGGTGTGCGTAACGAAAGATTAAAAAAATGCCCCGCCCTTACGGAAAGAGCCAGAAATGTCCGACAACAGGTTTGGTTCACACACTAAACAACCTTACAGGTAGAAACTGAGAGGTATGAGGTGTAATGACCTTTCGCTAGTACCACATCAAATATTACCCCAACAAAGTAAAAATAACCAGTTGTGCACATTGTTGTGCTTCCTGTGGTCCAGGGGCGATTCTAGAATCTGACCTTGAGGGGGTGCCTAGCCCCCAGTGCTCTGAAAGCCAGCACCTCGGGGACCAGACATCCAGCAGTTAGTCATTATGTAAATAAACCAAGTATTACAATGATCTGTTACCTTTTCATTTTTTTTTTTTTTACATTGAATCATAAATGCAATAAACACAAAACTCAAACCCAGAACCGCCAAAAAAATATATATATTTTTTTAACTTTATTTTTCAGGGGTGCTGAGTTAAAATTGAGGGTTCCTCGAGCATCCACAAGAAGAGGCTAAAATCGCCACTGGCGCTGATGATACTAGCAATAAAAGCGTTGTACGAGGGTGATACTTAGACATGGCCTCCACCCCTGTTTAATGATGGACGGGTTCTTTTCACAAAGATGGCCTCCTTCATTCCTCTCTCAAACCATTGTTCCTCTCTGTCCAGGATGTGAACATCTTCATAACTGAAAGAGTGACCGCTGGCCTGGAGATGAGTGTAGACTGCAGAGTCCTGTCCTGATGTTGTTGCTCTTTCATGCTGGTCCATCCTTTTGGCCAGTGGCTGTTTAGTTTTCCCAACATATAACTGATCACAGCCCTCCTGGCACTGAACAGCATACGCAATATTACTCTGTTTGTGCCAGCTAGGGGACTGGATCTTTGGGATGAACCAGTCTTTGCCGTAATGTATTTTGGGGTTTAAAAGCCACTGGGACGTTAATTGTGTTTAGAAAATAAACGTCTCGATTTCTCTGAAACTCCTGCAACATATGGAATGACCACTGGTCTGGGTTCCTCCTTTTCACCGGATGGCTGACTGGAGTCCTGTTTGGCTTTCTTCTCTGTTTTCTCATGTTGAAAACTTGGTAAAGAAACTGAAAGTAAAATGGGTTTCTTTTTCAGAAATAGATCCTGTCTAACTCCGAACGCTAGGAAAGACCTTGTAACTGCTCCTTTCCTTCCCTCCATTGACTGTGGTGACATTTACACGAACGCTCCTGCAAATCACGGTGCGCTAAGATTCATAACTGGCTGTACCGTAATTATCACTGCACCCTGTAGTTAACTGGTCATCATTAACTTCACATAGACTTTCACACTGGTACATTTTCATCTTTAATCTCCTCCTACATGTCACTACATGAGTGCAGCTACAGCGTGCGCTCTCAGGACATTATTACCTGCAGTGTTCCCTCAGTGAGGACTGAACTAGGCAAAAGAACCTTCTCTTACGCTGCTCCTGTTTCCTGGAATATCTTGCAAAAAGATCTGAAGCTCCCGACCATGACCTCTCTAAGGGACTTTAAACTGCTGCTAAGTTTGTGGCACAAACCAACGCAGAGATGTTCCTGTTTTTAGCATTTTATATGGCTTTATAATGTAGCTGTGTTTTTTTTTATATAATTTATTGTATTTACTTTAATTTTACACACTTTTTTATGATTGTCTACTGTTATCATTCTTTGTTAAACTTGTAAATGAGTCCTTGAGGCTCAGTGAGACTAACCTGTATAAATAAAGGTTGAAACGAATTCAGTTAGGATATACTCATTGCTCCAGGGCCTGTCTTGTGTGGGGTTTCTCCTTCTGCCTGGCTCCTAAGTGTGGGACACTGTGTGCTGCCGAGTCCTGATAACTCTGACTTGTGCTCCAGAGGGTGATGGGAGTCAAACTGCAAATACCGGTCTGTGTGTGTGGGTTTGTTGTTGTTGGATGTCAACAACAAACTGGTTGATTCACTATGAGAAGGTGTTATTTATAAGATCAAGTTTATTGCAGTTCCTCAGACTGACCAAGTCTTATGGATTACAGATGAAACGTTTCAACAAGTTTTCAATTTTTTTTTTATTTTTTAGTAGATTTTTCTACCTGGATTATTGAGCATGCATCAGGATTACAGCTAAAGTTTTATAGTCATCTTGCTCCATCAGTAGCATATATTTAGCATGTTGTGAATGACTCTTAGCTACTACGAGAGCACAATGTAGCTCACCATCTGTAAAGATGACTACCAGTAATTTTTTTTTGTGTTGGTTAATGTCATTCACCTGTGGCAGCCATCTTGAATTGGACCGCTCACTTGTAGAACAATAACTTTCTGAAATTTTTATTTAAATCCATCCCGTGGTTCATGAGCTGTTTTGCTAACAGACAAACGGTTTACTTCAACATACGTTAATGAGTAGCACTTGGAGCTTGTGTTGTGAACGACGTTCAGACAACTACACCAAACTATACCTCAAAATCTGTAAAATGGGTTGAACTGAAGCCATTTTTGAGTTTTCAGTGGCGCGTTGACTGCGGCGGCCATCTTGAATGAGGTTGGCATCCCATGATTATTGCCTAAAAGCTTTATTAAAATTCATCATGAGATATTTTGCTAAAAAAAACAAAGTTGACACCCATTAGTTAATGGCAAACTTTCAACAAATATCTTGTACAATCAGTTATAAACAAATGTGTTGGGATAACGACTATGGCCACATGAAATTTTAAGTCAATATCTGGAAAACTGAATGTTATAGCAATTTATTGTGCTCGCTGAGTTTGTTTAGCCGTGGTGCTCATCTTAAATGTATTTTACTCATGAAGTTTTTCAGATGTAGATGCTCATCCTTCTGAGTTTTATTATTTATGATTTTATTTAAATCCATTCGGTGGTTAATGAGATATTTTGCTTACACTACAAACAAATGCACACATGGACACTGGCAAAAGCAAACTTCTTTCAATTTGCAATTGTTTAAATGAGCATATTGATGCAAATAAGTAACTTTATTTAGATCTTACAAAAAATATTGTTAAAACTTGAGAAAATTTGACTTTATTGGTGGGCAGTAAAAAGTGAAAATAAATAGTTATTTTGGACAGAGGCCATTTTTGTCAGAAATCTAAACTCTTATATGCAGTGAGCTGCAAAGATCATCCGGGGCATCAGTCTTATCCTGGCTCTGATAGCCATTCTGACATCTGGACTTCTGCTCCTTTGTTTCAAAGTTGCTTTTGATTATTTTTTAACTTCTTCAGAGTGGAAAAAAAAAAAAAAAAAGTCTTGGTACTTAAAAAATGTGCTCAGGGACTTTTAAACTCTGTTTACAAGATACGATGTAAAACTCGAGACGGGTTTTGTATGTTGCAAGTTGAAAAACAAACTTTTTTTTTAAAAACAAATTTATTTAACTGGGCATTTGCAACGCATAACATTTCACATTTCTTTAAATCTCTTTCAAAGTTAAAGATTTCTGAAATAAAATGCACTACTAAAGTACACTGCTATAGGTCTATTTTTTTTTTTTTTGTGCTTTTAAATCACATTTAACAAGTCCATAAACGTTTAGAGTAAATTTGGGCCAAAGTTGCCCTTACATGCAAAGATTAGCAGAAGTCAAATAGTCCCTCGCTACTTTGCGGTTCGACTTTGAGGACTGGCTCTTTCGCGGTTTTTCAAAATAAGATTGTACATGACAAAAAAAAAGGTGTACATGACACATGTCAACTTTAATATTACTCACATGATTTGGAGAGTACAAGACACTGAAAAAGGTTAACGGGGGGGGGGGGGGGGGGGG